CCCTAACCAATGGACATGGACAACAGGCGGGAGGGGGTGAGGGCATGAGCGGGGGGTGGGGATAATGTAGGGATAAGGACACATATGTAATATCTTAATCAATAAAAAATATATTTTAAAAAAAAGCTGAGAAGTGGTAGAGGTTATTTCTAACTGGGATGACCTGGGAAATGCATTCTCGTGAGGAGCTATTTGAACTGATCTTTAGAGATTATGGAGGATTTCCATAGGCAAAGATAAGGGGAGAGGGCTTTTCAACCATTTGCCTATGGAACTCTTACTTATCCTTTAGATTGGAGGAAAAATAGAGTGAGAAAGGATGCCTGGACCACTTTCTGAGGAACCTTGACTGCACTGAGGCTTTGGTAGGCCGTGGGGAGCTGCTGAAAATGTTGACTACTTATATCCCTCTACCATTTATAATGCTTATCACATTATCTTGTTATCTCCCTATCAGACTGCATTTTTATTCATTCATTCATTTATTCATTCAAGAAATAATTGCCAAAGTATCTGTGTGCCAGCAACATGAGAATAAAAAAAGACAAAACTCCTGTTGCCCTTATAGATCTGTGGGAAGACAGACATCTACTTGTCATGCTGTGAGTAATGTATAATTATAGACTAGACTAAAGGTGTATGGTGCTGTGAGCACGTATGACAGATGGATGTGGCCTGATTTGGGGGCCAGGAAAGCCTTAGGCTATAACCCAGAGCATGAATGAGAGTTATACAGAGGAGATACAAGTAAGAGTTCCAGGCAGGGAGAGCCTGATGGCTGAGGGAGTATGGTGTGTTTGAGAAACAACGAATCCTGAGGGCTGGAGAGCTGAGAACAAGAAGAAGGGGGACATCCGGCTGAGACTGGGGAGGGAAGCAGAGCCTTGCAGAATGTGATGAAAATTTTGATCCTTGAAAGCAATGGGAAATCCATTGTAGGGTTTTTAAGTGAAAAGGAATGAGTGACGTGACATACTCAGATTTACTTTGAAAAGATTGATCTAGCTACAGTGTGGAGAACAGATTGGAGTGGGGCAAGAATGGATCTAAGGGAACCACTGGATCTAATGCAGTGGTCCAGATGAAAGAAGACAGAGCTTGGAATAAGTTAGTGACAGTGGAGAGAGGAAGAACAGATGGATTTGAGACATTTATAAGGTAAAACTGACAGAACATGGCATTGCAGTGGTTCTCAAGGTGTGTTCTGGGGACTTTGGAGTGGTCCCTGAGGTCCTTTCAGGAGGTCTGTGAGATCCAAACTGCTTTCATAATAGTATTAAGAAATTATTTGCCTTTTCACTCATTCCCTCATGAGTTTTCCAGAGGTTATATGCCTGAGGCAATGTCATTTCTCCGGTGGCTAATGGAATTTGTGCGTGAGTATTACTGTGTTTTAAAAATTTCTGAGCTTTGCCCTGGCCAATGTGGCTCAAATTGGTTGGGTGTAGTCTCATGTACTGAGGGGTTGCCAGTTCAATACCTGATCGGGGCACATGCCAGGGTTGTGGGCTTGATTCCCCAGTGGTGGGCGTGAAGGAGGCAGCCAGTTGTTTCACTCTCGCACAAGTATTTCGCTTTCTCCCCCTCTCCTTTCTTCTTTCTCTAAAAATCAATTTAAAAATTCTGAGTTTTAATTTATAATACCGTGAATATCGATATAATCTACATAAATAAAAGCTCTCTAGTGTCCTCAATTTTTAAAGTATAAAGGGGTTCTAAGACCAAAGGGTTTAAGAAGCACTATGGTATTAGATTGAATTTGCAGATGGTAAGAGAGCAGGAGATTAGCTTTATGGATGTGTATAAATGACTGCCTTTTAGCCTGACAGGAACTCCAAAAGAGGGCCTGGTTGGGGTTCTGAAAAGGAACAGACTGGTGTTTTAGACAAGTTGAATTGGAGGTGCTTTGAGACAGCCAAGAGGAGATGCCAGATACCCATTTGATATGTTAGATACACAGATCTCTCGCTCATAGGGGAGAAAATCAGGAGTAGTGAAAAAACTGGAAATTGTCAAATTGAAGCCATGGACCAAGAAAAGAGCGCCTAAACAGACTGTAGAACGAGAGAGAAGAGAAGAGGGCCTAGGACTGAGCCTTAAAAACCCAGACCCTCAGTGGCCTATTAGAGGGAGATGAGCCTATAAAGGTCACAGGAAAGGAGTGACCAGAGAAGTAGGAGGGAAAGTAGGAGAGGGCGGGGAGGAGGCTTTACATACCAGCCAGGTTGGAAAGGACAGACCAAAGGTAAGAGGCATAAAATTGTCATTTTCATCCATAAATTTCTGAGTGCTTGCTATGCTGGTACAGGGTAAAGCCTTCTGGAAGTAAAGAAAACATTAGGGGAGGAGTCAGGGTCAAAGCATGAGGGAGTAGAATCCTAGCAGTAAAAATAGGGTCCAAGGACAAGCCTTAGTGATTCAACCCCCCAGCAATAGAAGGGGGATTCTATGCCCTCCTCCCCCACCAACAGTAACATACCTGTGAGTATTTAGTGAGAGACTGAACATGTAAGTCATTCAGCTCTCATTGAAACATCTTCATGATGGGGAAGTGCAAGATACCCCAATCAAATTTTAGACAGTTCTACTTATTTGCAGTTCTTCCTTTTTTTAAAATAAATATGTTTTTTTATTGATTTCAGAGAGGAAGGGAGAGGGCAAGAGAGATAGAAATATATGATGAGAGAGAGAATCATTGATAGGCTGCCTCCTGCACACCCTCCCCCCCCCCTCTTGCACGCCCCCTACTGGGGATCTGGCCGACAACCCAGGCATGTGCCCTTGACCAGAATCAAACTCAAGACCCTTTAGTCCTTCTGCAGACTGATGTTCTATCCACTGAGACAAAACAGCTAAGCCCCCCCCCCTTTTTTTAAGATTTTTTAAAATTGATTTTTAGAGAGAGAGGAAGGGAGAGGGAGAGAGAAAGACATCATCAGTGTAAGAGCAAAACATTAATCGGCTCCCTCCTGCACAATGCCCAACCAACTGAGAGCCACAC